CGCCACGCAGTTGGACACCAGCACCACCGCCGAGGAGTTGAGGAAGATGGCTGTGCAGATGAAGTTGGTGAACACGTGCCAGTCCCTCCCGAACTTGGTTTTGAGGTCGATGCAGCCGACGCCCGGGCGCTCCTCGATGTGCCTGATGGGAATGGCCATGTTGGGCACGGTGATGAGCAGGAGCATGGCCCACACCACGGCGCACAGCGTCTTGGCAAAGCCCGGCTCCTGCACGCGGTACATCTTGGAGCTGTGCATCAGCTGCAGGCAGCGGTCCATGCTCACGAATCCCAGAAATACGATTGACAGATACATGTTCAGGTAGATGAAGCAGGCCGTGACTTGGCAGTGGAATATTCTCAGACTCCAGGATGCAATTCCTAGGTCAACAATAATCTTCACCGGCAGTGTCAAAGTCAGCAGGAAATCTGCAGTGAGGAGGTTGATTAAGTAGATGCTCATGCACTTTTTTTTCTGGTCCTTCTGTGTGAATGCCCACAGCGCAAAACAGCTTCCAATAATTCCCATAAGAAAAATCAAGTAGTAAAAATAGGTAAAGGGTTCCATTTCTTCATAGAGATGACATTCAGAAATGTTGCTTGACATTGTAAACTCCTTGTGTGAGTTGGTTTTGCTGACAGGAGGTATCACAGACCTATGAAAGAACCAAAAGGTCATCAATGCCATCAGCCTTTCCTCAGCAATAGTAGCTATTCTCTTAGAATTTTGCTTGATTAATTCTAAAAAAAAAAAAATACAGTTCGGAAGAAATATTTTTCTCTCTCTTTCATGGTGCTTCCCAAATATTCAGGAGAGTTTTGTTCTCATGCTGGAAGAATTAGGGGTGCGTTAGGATTTGTTTCTGAAAGAATAGAGCCTTATGAGCAGCATTTCCACTACAGCAGCTTTTCTGGCAGTGTTTGCTCCAACACCCTCCTCCAGCCAGAATGCTAGAGAAAAAGGTTTGGATCTATTTAAGCATCTGTTTAATAACAATCATACAGAAACATCATAACCTTTGAAAAAAAAGGTTTCCAGGTTCTATCATAACCTGGGAAAAAAAAAAAGGTAGTATTTGTAGCATCCCCTTTCTGTAAAATGCATTGGGAGTTCTGAGGGAATGCACTGTCCAACCAATATACAGATATATCAGATGGGTGAGCAAATGGTCCTCATCAGCCCTAAGGCTGCAAACTGCTCCCCATTCCTGCTTGAGCAGAGAGCTTGTATTTTTATGAAGCCTTTAGGAAAAGCACATTTTGAAAGAAGCAGATAATAGATAATTTTGCTCACTTCTTTTGTAGGCTTCAGTAGAAAAGGAAAGTAGAAAATTTTGTTCCTAATTTAACTAAATACTGCTCAAAGACTGAGGGATTTTTGTTTGTTTGCTGCAGAGGACGGCTGTGGGAAAGGCTGTTCCTTTCAATTTCTTGGAACCAGCATGTTTATGCCTTCAGTGGCATCAGATTGCAACACTCTATTTCTATATATTGCACAGAATATTTTATACAACATAAGAGAGCTACTGCACACGCAATTTAATCTGTTAAATTGTATCCAGATTTGCATAGTTTGTAAAGCAAAATGACCGCAGATACTCGGGTGGTTTACGATGTTGGAGAAAGCAGCCTGGCCCTTGCAGCTGGCCCTGTGCAGGTGTCCCTGTGCTGGGAAGGGGCTGAGGTGGCTCTGGGTGTGGGCAGCAGTGCTGCTGGTGGCAGGGCTAGGGCACAGGGCAGCCCAGCTTGTCCCCGTCCCCCGTGGGCAGGGGTACCCAGGTGTGAGCAGTGCCAGGGCCTTGCCAAAGGCTGAGCTGACCTCTGGAGCATCTGACAGCTGGATTTTGGGCTGTCCATCCGCGGAGATCTGAACAGGCTCTACAGACAGAGACTGAAGCCACTTACCTGTGCTGGTGGCCGGGGGTGTCCTGAGCATGGTCTGCAGAGATCGGGTGTCCTTCTGCCCAGGCTGCTCTGCTGTGTGTCCTTCTGCCCAGGCTGGTGTGGGACCTGCTGCCCAGGCTGCTCTGCCGGGCCCAGACGGGGCTGTGGTTTCCAGAGGGGCTGATTGACGCAGTTAAACCCAGATTCAAGCAGCTGAATCACGTGGGGATTACCCAGAAAAGCAGTGACAGAAAGCAATAAGAGCTCACGGAACAGCCCGGAGCCCTCACTTTCCTGTTCTGGGGGAGAGGCGTGGGGGCTGTATCTGTGTGGCATCAGCTCCTTGGCTTCTGTTTTCGTCAGTCTGGAGCTCTCCTTTCCCCCTTCCCCACGTGTATCTCACATTTAAAATCTGCCTGAAATCAAGACTTTGCAATGTAGCTGTTCCTCAAGGTTCTGGGGATCTCATGGTGTTTGTTTTAGAGTTTCACCTTAGCTGCCAGACCTGAAGACACCTAGGGGTTCTGCTGATTGCAATGAACATTCTTAATATTTGGATATTTTCCAAGGACTATTAAAATAACATGGCACATTAGGGAAGTCAGGGAAATCTTTATTTTTTGTTTGGTTGGTTTGGGAAACCGCGAGAAAAGCTTTGACCCGTGCTGGGGGTGAGGTACTGACAGCAATACTGAAACTCCAGCTGGTGGCCCTTGGTTGTAATTGAGAATCCACAGGAATTTACAAACCCTGCACCAGAGCTGTGTGGGGGAGCAGATGAAGAATGTCTGGTTCTAGGTTTAGTCATGAACTGAAAGCTCAGACCATATTTGTCAAAATGTTTGCAAAGCTTAATAATCTGGAATGATCCTGTGTCCAGCTGCAAGCAAACATCAACTCATTTTGTAGTGTTGTGCTCATGCAAAGCTGATTTCCTATACTCGTAGGGGTTTTTTGAGCCCAAACTGCAGCACTGGCAGTTGTTTCTGGCTGTGTGTCTCTGTCAGTCAGTCTGCCCTTTTCTGCAGAGTCAGTTTACAGAGCAGGGAACTTTTCCAGGCCTAAAAAGACCAAGTGATGGTTCAGTGAACCTTTACAGTGTAATGGTCTGCCCTTCCTGCAGAAGTGTTACGGGAAGAGAGCAGATCTTGGAATGTGAGCAGCTCCCTGAGTGTGTGAGCAGCTGCCTTGTGCTGTCTGACCCCAGCCTGATGTGCTGGGAAAGCACCGAGTTTGTAAAAATGTTCACCCTTGGATCTATTTGGACTGAAACAAAAAGCAGTGGCAGAAAGATATTTATGTTCCTATAGCTTCTTTAATAAGTAAAATGAAGACATTCAGCTCCAGAGCCACTCTCAGAAAGCTTTAGTGGATACTTTAGGCCCTGCTGTGTTTTTCCTGTACAATAATAAAATCAATTAAAAAAAAGCTGCTCTGAAAAATAAAGTTATAACAGACATTATATTTGTATAGAGCAGGTTGGGGGCTTTCAGCTGTTATCTTGGTACAGACAGAAATGCTTTGTTGCTGTGTAAAAATCACGGAAAATCAGCAAACCTTTCTTTCTGGATTTAAATGCACCAGAGTTTTTACACAGCTGTACTTGGATGTTCCCAGATGGCTCTGTGGTGCTCTTGCCTCTTGCTGCACCAGCACTGAGGGAGTGGCTGCAGAATGGTGTGGGGATGTTCCTGTTCATGCAAGGCCAGAGAAGCAGAGTGCTGTGGCTGTGGGTCTGTTGGATGGTCCTGTCAGAGACCCAGGGCCTGGAGCTCCAGCATGTGCTGTTCCAGGCTCTGCCCTCTGTGTTCCTGAGATCCAGGTGGGTTGTGTCACACACCAATGCCATCAGGCCATCAGCTGGAACAGCACACAGTGAAAATATTGGCACATGCAATGCTGGGTTTAGGCAGGGAAGTAGCACCTGGTGTTTTGCTGAGCCCCTCTCCTGCTTGTGTCTGGTTATCCTGTGCTCTTGTTTGTCTGTTTCTTCTCTGTTCATGAATGATTTCCTGAAATGTGCGTTATTGTGGAGACACAAACCTACACTATGTTTATGCTTTCCCCAAGCGTATTTGATCTTCTGGATTTAGAAATTTCAACCTCACTTGAAGCTTTTGGCTTGAGGTGCAGCTTTTGATACAGCTTTTCTCTAAAGGGGAGGCAGAGGAAAAAATAAATAATGGGGTCAAGGCAGACATTTGCTGCAGACAGCACCAGAGTGAACTCCTTGGCGTAGAACAGCGATTTTTGGGCCTGGCAGGTGAACTGGGAGCTGATCTGGCTCAACGTGTATGGGGTCCTGCAGAGGTGGTAGGGCACAAAGCAAATGACAAACACAAACATGATGGTGAATATGTTCCGGCTGGTTTTTCTCTTGGCTGTGTCTGAGTTCCTCTGGAATTTTTTGTAAGAACTGTATATTTTTTTGGATATAGAAGTGTAAAATACGATTAGCAGGAAAAAAACAATCCAGAAAATCCCTGTGCAAATGTAAGTTGTTGCTTTGTGCCACTGTCTGCCAAGCTCGCTTTTAAGACCTATACATTTTGTGGAGTAACTGTCCTTAGTGATTTCATTAGTTAAAATCATGTTTGGAAATGACATAATCATTAGTAACAGCCATATGATTGCAGAGACCACCTTGCTGTAGTTAACGGTGTGGACGAAGGAGGTGAACAAAGGCTTGACGATTTTGTAGTACCTGTCGAAGCCTATGAGGCCGAAGAAGGTGATCCCGATGTACATGTTCATGTAGAACACCACGGCCGAGTACCTGCACACGAACAGGCTGAGCTGGGCAGGGGCAAGTCCCGAGTCAGCGAGGATTTTGAAAGGAAACGTCAGGCTCATCAGGAGGTCGGCCACGGCGATGTTCTTGAGATAGACGATGAAGCTCTTAGTGCTGGGCACGTAGAGGAAGACCCAGGCTGCCAGGGCGTTGAGCGAGAGCCCCGCGAGGAAGATGAGGCAGTAGAGCAGCGGGATGACCGTGGTGGTGACCACCGTGCTGTGGCTGCAGTTGTTTCCCGAGGGGCTGCTGCTGGAGTTGAGCATCTTGCAGTATCCTCATTCCTAGAAGCAGAAAAAGAGAGTGTGAGCGGGGCAGGGTGGTGCTGGGCTTTCTGCTGACTGCTCTGAGCGTTCTGCCCTCACTTCCAGGCAAGCTCGGTGAGCCCCTCACAAACAGCCACGTTCCACAGCTCGGCACTGCCAGCAGGGAATGGAGAGAGCTCTCTGAGCAGGGCCATCTCACCGTCTGGTGACGTTCCATGTTGTTGCTTTGAGCGGAGGCTGCATTTCCTCCTCTGTTTGACTTTAAACCCTTCCCTTCCAGCCCAGGGCTGCCCCTTTCCTGCATGGAGGCATGTGCTGTGAGATGGGACTGACCCAGGGCAATCTGGTGACTCAGGGTTAATGAGATGCGTTTTTTAAATGTTAAATGTGGATTTTTAACATTGATTTGCCATGAAACATGAGGGATGTGAATAATCCTGGTCAAAGTGTTCTGTAAAAGCTCCTGTTAGTCAAGGCTGGAGATACCCAGCTATGGCAATATATCCCAGTGTTCCCTTCCAAGGAACTTTCATGTGCAGCTGGCAGAGCTCACTTTAAAATTCCAGCAGCCCAGCAGTGTGTCTGTGTTAGTTTGTGATGTGGGAGTTTGAGCTGGCTTCTCAAGTCAGTCAGATTTACATTTTAAAGAATCTCCAAGAAGAAATCACATCTGCTGTCTGCTTTTCTTTGCCAGAATGTTTGTGGGGGTGGATTATCCTCTGTGGGGAGGGCAGAACAAATATAGATATAAATATAATGCTGCTGTATTTGGCAAGTGAAACCCTGGGCAACTGGAAAATATGTGCCTTGGAGCTGGGAAAAAAAACCACCTTGTCTTGTAGAAAATAACAAATTTCCTTTTATCCCATTCTGAGTCGGTAACTGATGTCTCTGTGGAGTGGGTTGGAGCCTGAATGCAAGCTTGCAATAGCTAGAAATTGACATTTTTTTCTCAAATAGGTAAAATGGTCTCCTTTGGTGTGTTTGTTTTCTGTACCTCTTGAGATGGTGTGAAGGCTGATCAGCTCAGGTGTGCTCTGGAGCATGGGGTGGGTGTGTTACCCTGAGACACCCAAAGCCTGCACAGAACCTCATCCTGGTCACTATCCTGACAGGGCAGCAGCTCCTTCTTTGTCATCAAGGCATTGGGTTTTGTTTGGCTGGGGTTCTAAATGATAAAGATGGTTTGGAGAGTAGGTATTAAACTACCACAGGTACAGGTGTGTTAGAGCTGGGAGGTTATGAGGGTAGAGCCTGGGGTGATACTGCTGAAATCAGAAGCATCTTCTGGAAAGGCACTAATAGCAAATGGCATTTTAATTTAAATACTAACACACTGCATTTAGAAACTGTTCTCTCCTGCTGTGTCCCTGCTCCCTTTGTCCCTCCAGGCTGTCTCTGCAGGACCCTCTCTCTGCACGTGGTGCATTAAGAACTTGCTCCTTCTCTGCAGGGTTTTCTACAGCCAAGAACCCCCAGGTGGGTCTGTCTGTGCTTGGATTTGGGGGTAGGTATTAAATTGTTTAGAAGGTCATGAGGTGTGTTTTGTGCTGAGGCATCATACAACAAAGGATTATTTCAGAACTGTGTGACTGCAGACGTGGACACCAAGTCTTTGTGACGTCCACTGTGTCTGTGCAGCACAGAGGACAGCCTAGATGAGTTTTACACCTGAAACCAGCAGATTGATCAGCTGTGTGTCACTGAGAGGGGGCCACAGGCCAGGCCAGGCTCTGTCCATCCTTCCCTCATTGGCACGTCCTCACCTCGCCTCAGCTGCCTGCTGTGGCACGGGGCTGTGCTCTTGCTGGGACACCTGTGGGGGACACAGACACAGCCCTGTGTCCTGGCACAGCACACCTGTGCTGCTGGGGGGCTCCCACGGCACACAGGGGCTGTGCCAGTGCCACGGGGGCTGTGGCAGTGCCAGCATTTGGGACAGGTGTCACACAGAGTGTGTCAGTGCCATTTGGGACAGGTGGCACACAGAGTGTGTCAGTGCCATTTGGGACAGGTGGCACACAGAGTGTGTCAGTGCCATTTGGGATAGTGGCACACAGAGAGGCTGTGTCAGTGCCAGCATTTGGGACAGGTGGCACACAGAGTGTGTCAGTGCCATTTGGGATCGGTGGCACACAGCCTTTCGTACTCAAGCAGCTGTTCTTGTTTGAATGCTTGGGCCAACATAATGTACATCGATTCTGTGTGAATAATGTCAGCTAGTTGTGCAAAACCAGCAAACTTGGTTCACCATATGGCCAAGATGGTTTGGGTAAAATATAAAAAAGTTCTGAACTTTCTCAGTGTGTAAATCACGTTGTCTTGGCACAACACACCAAAGGGAAGCTGCATAAACCATTAGAAGTGCTCTGTCCCTTCTGAGGTCAGGCTTGTGCTGTCCCCTGTGACTCTTCCACAGTAGCATTAAGGCAATTCTTGACTTCTGTGACATGGCTGTCAAGTTTCAAAGTTCACCCTGCTTTACTGAACATAAGAATAATATTTATAAGTTGTTTTTTAATTTATTTACCCTGGCCTTACCAGAAGTTGTGTTGTTCCAAGTACACATTTTAGCTATTTATGGAAACGAATGCAGCTGTTTAATAAATATGTAATTCAGTTACTGGGTCAGGAACTGGTGACAGCGGTCACTATTGCCAGAAGTCTTTTTGAACTGCAAAATGGAGTTATCAGGGGAGGCAATCAGGGTGGATGGTACCTCTGATGCTAGGAGGAAGCTGCAGAAGGAAGAGGCACCACACACACCACAGCCATTGCAAGTTGTGCTGAGTGTGCTAAAAGAAGAACCTTATTTTAAGATTTTCTCTCTGATGTGGTTGGAATGTTGGTGCTGTGGAAGTTGCAGTGCTGTCTGTGCTGTGCAAGGCAGCTGTGGGTGTCCCTGTGGGGCAGCAGGGCGTGAGGCTCAGGAGCGTGCTGGGCACTGCCAGGGGCTGGGGGCTGCCTGGGGGGAGCCTCCTCCCCAAACCCCGGGGCATCTCTCACACTGGCCTGGTGTGGCCAGGGCTGCTCTGAGCCTGCCCCGAGTCCCCAGAGAGGAGCCCAGCCCGGGGGTGTGCCAGGGGGAGACACACAGGGCTCCGGCTGGAATGGCTGCTCTGCTCCGGAGGGCACTGCTCGCCGTGACTGTGGCTGGGGCACTGGACTTGTTGTGAGTTTGCCAAGAGACTGAAATTTTGTTATTTGCTGTTCTTATTATGACATTTGTCATAGGGCAATGTCTGGGCTTTAATACCTAGGAGAATAAAAGTATGCAAAATAATGGGATATTTTAGCCTCTAGAAATGGCGTGTTGGTTGGTAGCTGTTCTTGTTTGGTGTAGAATGTAGTGGAGGAAAATGGGATGAATGCTGGAATTAGGATGGCAGAAAAAACAGGATGGCTGGAGAACAGGGCAAATGCTGGAATTAGGATGGCAGAGTAAACAGGTAGCATTCCTGTTGCAGGAGGCAGTGAGGGAGGATCTGCCACGGGGAAAGTGGGATGAGCTAGGAGGGCAGAAGAAAGAGGTGGCATTCCATTGCAGTAAAGGAGGATCTGCCATGGGTCAGGCAGCGGTGCAGGGCTCAGGGCAGCAGCAGTGCAGGGCTCAGTGCAGCGGTGCAGGGCTATGGGCAGCAGTAGCGCAGGGCTATAGGCAGCAGCAGTGCAGGGCTGCAGGCAGCAGGGCAGGGCTCAGGGCAGCAGTGCAGGGCTCAGGGCAGCAGTAACCACTGCTGTCTCACCCGTGCCCTCCAGCTCTGCTGTCTGGGCCCCTCAGGTGTGCTGTGCAAGGACAGAGCACACAGAGCCGTGCCTCTCCCCAGCTGCTCCCTGTGACAGTGACTGAGAACAGAGCGTGTGTCCTGTGGTGTGGCCCTGGTGACACGGGTGTGCTCTGTCTGCACTGCTGGCAGAAATGGGGAGGAAGGACAGGTGGGACTGCCTCTGTGCACCTTAGCAGGACATCCCCCTTGTGATCCCAAAGGCCAAATGCAGGGTGCTGTGGTGAGGAGGGGCAGGGGGTGGGATGGTGTCCCTGCAGCGTCACATCAGGGAGAGGATCCGTGATGTTCTCCTGGCACCTGCAGAGCTGCTGGAGCTCTCAAGGACACAGGGACAGAGCCAGCAGGTGCACAGAGAGGAGGAGATAAGGTTCTGCATTTCCATTACAGCCAGGGCTCCTCTGGGTGCAGTGTCAGGACACCTCAAGGGCAGAACTGTACTTCTGTCTGGCAAAAACCGCCAGGGACTGTTTCATTTCTTCTTCCTGTCCAGCAGCCTCTGTGCTCTCTGGTATCTGGAATTTAACAGCTTTGTCTTCCTCATCAGCTGAATTTTTCATTCTCTTTTTATGTCTGACTTTTAGACAAGGGTATGCATTATTCTGAGCACACTTTTAACCTTAAAAGATTGTAGACGGACATATTTGTGCAAACCCTGATACTCAGATGGAAACTTGGACAATGCCTTGAGCTCTTTGCACACAGCATAATTTTCAGAACTAATTCAAATACTCAGTTTTTTAAATTAAGTCTCAAAATTCTTCCACTAAGAGCCTTCCTATCTCATCAGTTTTCATACTGGAATTAGGGAGTAGTGGATGTGAGAGGAAATGTTAGGTCAGGTAAGAGTAGCTTAAGAAGGTAATAATAATAACAATGACAATAATAATAATAGATTGTAATGAAGGAAAATAACAAGGAGAGAGATGAACCCCAAGAAAAACAAGTGGGTCAGCTTTCCTGGCATGCCCTTCTGCACTGGCAGGGCATGAGAAGGTGCACCTGACTTGGTGCAAGCCCTGCTCATCAACAGCTAAACCATCGGGGTTCATCAGAGAACCGTCACTCTCATCCCAAACCCAAACACATTTCTATACCAGCTACTGGGAGAAAATTAACTTTATCCCAGCTAAAACCAGAGCCCTGGGTCAATAAACCAATTTGGGTCAATAATGATTATTAGCTGCATCGTCCTGAAACTGGGTTTTTAATAGTAGTAAAACGTGGCTCAAGAAAGTTTTTCCCTTTAATATTATATTTTAGTGGTAGTATTTGTCATTCAAAGATTTTAAATTCAATTTTCTGATGTTTTAAACTATGAGTTTCATATAGTTACATTTTCTCAGCCACAAATGAAAACAAAACTAGTTGCTTAAGAAAAATATCTTTTTAAGGCAGACAAGAAGAATCCTTGCCTGCAGGTTCTCTGTCTGCTGCCACAGCTGGAGCCTGCTCTACGGCTGAAACAGTAGTTTCTGTACCGGTTTCGTTAGTTAGTTAGTTAGAACTGCTCGTTTGTGTTATTAGTCGTTAGTGGTTTGCAGAAGGCGCCGACGCTCGCCTTATTTGCCAATTTAAAAAGTAAAATTGCGGCGGCAGTTACTCAAAAACACGCGGGGGTGTTGGAGCGCGTTTGCAGGGGACGGGAGCGGGTGCTGGAGGCAGCGTCTCACCTGGNGGGCCATGTCCTGCAGCACAGAGCTGCTGTGTGATGGAAGGGATGCAGGGCCATGTCCTGCAGCACAGAGCTGCTGTGTGATGGAAGGGATGCAGAGCCATGTCCTGCAGCACAGAGCTGGCTGTGACGGAAGGGATGCAGGGCCATGGTCCTGCAGCACAGAGCTGGCTGTGACAGAAGGGATGCAGAGCCATGTCCTGCTGCACAGCTGCTGTGTGACAGAAGGGATGCACTACCATGGTCCTGCAGCACAGAGCTGCTGTGTGATGGAGGGGATGCAGGGCCATGTCCTGCTGCACAGCTGCTGTGTCATGGAAGGGATGCAGGGCCATGTCCTGCTGCAGAGCTGCTGTGTGATGGAAGGGATGCAGAGCCATGGCCCTGCTGCACAGCTGCTGTGTGATGGAAGGGATGCAGGGCCATGTCCTGCTGCACAGCTGCTGTGTGATGGAAGGGATGCACTATCATGGTCCTGCTGCACAGACTCGGCAGTCCAAAGGTGTTTCCAGAGTTCCCTACCAAAGCCTGCCAGGCTGAGGGGTGCTGTGGTGGGCAGAGCACTGAGAGCAGTGTGGCTTCACTATTTACACACTGGGGTAGGTGATCTAGTGTAGAGCTGGGGTATCTGTCCCCTGTAGCTTCATTCTTTCCAACAAAGCCTGCTACATTGCAGATTCCAGGGGTAGGAACACATTTGTTATATGGAGAATTCACTCTTTTTCATGTGTTTTATCGCAACAGGAGATGAACACTGTGTTCTCTTTGAAGAGTATTTTAGGGTATTTTGCAGATGCTCACTGGCTGTGTACTCTAGTTGTGGATTTTGTACTTGTCTGAATACAGTATTTTTGTGCTCAGCAGGGCTGCCTTTCCTCTCCTTGTCCAGTTTTCTGGACACTTTCCTCACCAATTTTATCCTAAGCAGCTGTCTCAGTCTGCTATACAAATATATCCTGCTTGGAAGGTTTTGAAGATGCACCAGAAGCTGCTGCTTTATCCAGGCAGCTTTGTAAAGCAGAATACATTTTACTTCTTGTAGCTTCTGTACTTGGTCCGTGGTTGATGAGATAATCTCTTGCTGCTGATGCGGACAGACTGGTTTATGTTCATGACTGATGTAACCTCAGAGAAGAAATGAAATAATAGTCTGGATGGCAGCCTTCAGTGTCAGGTGGATAGGGAATGACTGTAGAGTTTTTCTGGTGACTAAGGCTTTAAGTTACCTTCCTGTTTAAAGAAATTGTACACCCTCAAATCTAATCTTTTTTCATCTTGTTTAAAACTTTTTAGAGTTAGAAAACTGTCTTTGTGGCCTAGGCCAGCTGTTCTAGGTCGTGGGGCTGCAGAGTCTCAAGCAATGTTTTTTGTTTGGGTCCATAACTTGTTGGTGTCTGTCTCCTTGCCTCCTGCTGCACTCATCACCATGGTGATGAGTGGATAAGGGTGGGTAAATGACAGGGTTGGTGCAGCAATAGACATGTGGGGCAGATATTAAACCTGCCCTAGGCTGCTGCAAAGCTCTTGCTTCCTTTGCCCATCAGAACCAAATCACAGAGCTGTTTGTAAAGATGCAGGGGGAAAGCACTGGTGCAGGGTAAGAGCCTGTGTGCATGGAGCTGCTGCAGGCAGGCCTGAGCCTGTGCCTCTGCTCTCTGTGTCACCCACACCTGTCCCTGTCCCCGAGCAAGCCTCCATGCTCTGTTTGCCCTGCCTGCATCCCTTTCTTTGTCTGACTGCTGTCTCCTGCTCCCTGCAAGCCCAGTTCCAGCAGCCCTGGCACTGCCACCTTTCCCTTCCTTGGAGGCTTCTCTCAAAAATGGTCCAGCTCCCTTTTGGTGGAGGAGCATGTTAATGTGCTGGTAATGCACAATGGAAGAACCTGAAATTCCTGTTTGAGTCGCTGCCTGCCTCGGTGAGTTGCCCTCCTTGCTGGGCTGATGGTTCTGGTGTTTTGTAGCACTCTCTGATGGCTCATTCTGGTGTTTTTGTAGCACATTCTGATGGCCCTTTCTGGTGTTTTGTAGCACTCTCTGATGNCCGTGCCACCTCCTGCCCTCCCCTTGCCCTGCTGCCTTCTGCAGACCCTGGGGAGCAGGGTTCCTGCCAGTGGGTCTGCTCAATGCCAGAGAGCTCATCCTGGCTGCAGCCTCCTGGCCCGGGGCCGCTTTCTGAGCCCAGGCAGCCTCCTGGTGCCCCCCAAGCCAACCAACCAACCCTAACCAGCCAGCCTGCCCACCCACCTAAAGCCTCCCAGCCCCACGGAGTTGTGATTTCTAAACCAACCAGCCCTAATCAGCCAACCTGCCCACCCACCCAAACACCCCCAGCCCCACGGAGTGATGACTTCCAAACCAACAAGCCAACCCTAACCAGCCAACCTGCCCACCCACCCAAACACCCCCAGCCCCACAGAGCGAGCCCGATCCCTGCGGGGATGGAATCTGAGGTGGATGTTGGTGAGCTGGCACAGAAAAGCTGAACGTGTCTGCACATCCCTCAATGAGATTCCGTGGTCAGACACTTAGAGACGTTTTATTTACATGATATACAAGCGCCCTCACAGGTCAGCGCAGTCTCTGGGGTGCCCTCAGACGTCGGTGTACTCGTGGTAGATGCGCACCTCCGACCTCCTGACGCTCTGCAGGGACCTGATGCTCTCACTCCTGGTTCTCATGTTGGATTTCCTGAACAGCCTTCGAGAGAATGATCGGCACATGAAAAAATAAATGATGGGATCCAGACAGACGTTGCATGCAGACAGGAACAGGGTCATTTCCTTACAGTAATACAAGATTCTATGTGCAGAGTCATCTAAAATTTTGTCCAGATGACTGAAAGTGAAGGGTATTCGGCACAAATGGTAGGGCAAAAAGCAGGTGAAAAACACAGCCACGACAACCCTTATACTCTGGTTGTGCTTCCTCTTGCGGCTGGAGGAGCTGATGAACTGTTTGCTGGATTTGTAGATGTACCTGGAGATGGCAATGTAGCAGCCTATCAGCACCACCAGCACCACCACGAACATGCAGGTGTTGATGTAGATGACGGCCGAGTGCCACTTGACTCCCAGGGGAGACTTCAGCTTCAGGCAGTCGTCCACGTTGCGCCTGGTGGGGTATCCGTTGGTGAGGATGAGGTTCGGCAGCGCCAGGAACGCCATCACCACCCAGACGCAGGCCGACAGCACCTTGGTGAAGGTGATGCTGTACATGCGCGAGTCCCCAAAGGGCTTCACCACCTTCAGGTAGCGGTCGATGCTGATGAGGCCCAGGAAGACGATGGTGGTGTACATGTTGGCGTAGAACAGCACCGTGCTGTAGCGGCACAGGAAGGAGTTGAAGTGCCACGGGCCCAGCCGCGAGTCCTGGATGATCTTGAACGGGAACGTCAGCGTCATGAGCAGGTCCGCCACCACAATGTTCTTGAGGTAAAAGATGAAGCTGGTCTTGTTCCTGATGTGGAAGAAGATCCAGACGGCCAGGCCGTTGAGCAGGAGGCTGGCCAGGAAGATGAGGAGGTAGAGCACGGGCAGCACGATGGTGGTGAACTCGTCCCGCGCCGCCGAGCTGCCGTTGGGCCAGCTGCTGTTCTCGGGGCTGGGGCGGCTGTCTGCGGGACAGGGACACCGTGGTAAGGATTTAGGGTGCTTTACGGGTGGGGACAAGGGAGGGAGACAATGGTAAAGCTTCATGGTGCTTTGCAGGTGGGGACAAGTGAGGGAGACAATGGTAAAGCTTCATGGTGCTTTGCAGGTGGGGCCAGGCAAGGAAACAACAGGTAAAAGTTTGTGGTGCTTTACAGATGGGCCAAGGGAGGGAGACAACAGGTAAAGCTTTCTGGTGCTTTACAGGTGGGCCAGGCAAGGGAAGCAATGGTGAAACTTCATGGTGCTTTACAGATGTGCCAAGTGAGGAAACAATGGTAAAGCTTTCTGCTGTTTTACAGACAGGGCCAAGTAAGGGAGACAATGGTAAACGTTTATGGTGTTTTACAGACGGGACCAAGCAAGGAAACAATGGTAAATCTTTCTGCTGCTTTACAGACTTGGCCACTTTGGAGCTGCCCTCTCTGGCAGTCTGAGGCTGCTGGGTGAGCCATAACTCAGAGCTGCGGGTTGTCAGCTCTTGGCTTTCTTGACAGAGTGTGACTTGTGAGCTGAGATGTTTGTCATGGGACAGGGCTCTGGAGAGACTCCTCAGGCCTATCAAAAAACGTGAATTTTAACTTGGTTTACTTAAATGTACTTAAAAGTCACAGTCTCTGGGGGATTTTAAGATTTCATATGTAAATGTTTGCGAAAAGCTTATAAACTGTGCCATAAATGTCAGTATGTTTTGTTTCATGTTGTTTGTGCTCTGACCTTGTCTGGTGAGGCAAAGCAGGCTGGCTGTGGGGCAGGCTGGGCAGTGCTCACACAGCCGTGCTGCAATGACTGATTTCTTTCAAAAGCTGGTAGGAACTGACAGTAATAAAATAAACACTTATCAATCCCTTATATTTCCATTGTTATTTTACCTGGCAGTTTTCCATAGGACAAATTGTACCCCATCCTTTGTGTTGCTGTCGGTTTCCGGCTGAAATGCTCTTCAGGAGTCCCACTGGCAGCCGTGGGTCTGGGATGCAGCAGGGCCTGTGCCAGGATGATGTTCTGGGGAAAGAAAATCCAAATTGAAACCAAATGAAAATAGAAGAGCCCACCTTGGGATGCAGCAGGGCCTGTGCCAGGATGATGTTCTGAGGAAAGAAAATCCAAATTGAAACCAAATGAAAATAGAAGAGCCCACCTTGGGATGCAGCAGGGCCTGTGCCAGGATGATGTTCTGAGGAAAGAAAATCCAAATTGAAACCAAAGGAAGGTAGAAGAGCCCACCTTCTTGTCCCCTGCATGAGAGGAGCCCTGTGAAAGGAGCTGCCTCTGGAGTTCCCAGAGAGGGAGGTGAGGTGGCTGGCACTGCACAGTGGTTCTGCTGTCAGGGCCCTCTTCTTGCTCATTTTAGTAAGTAGATTTTTTTTTTTAAATCATCACTCACTTCTTGAAGCAAAAAAGTTTTATCAGTAATTATGAGATATGTGTCTATAACTTCATGGTGTATTCCCCAAATTGGGGTGGAAATGGTGGAAATGACAAATTCCTGTTCCTTTTTCATAGAAACTGGCACACAAGGAGCACTGAAACCTGCAGAAACTCATTAATGCCATATGGCATCATGATGTTTGATATTGTTAAAAGGGATTTTGCCAATACCAGTTTGTAATGCTGTGCTCCAAATTGTTCTTGCCTCAATCAGTATGAAAATGCAGTAACTTTTCTGGGATTCATTTTTTGCTTACAAATTTTGCTAGGAAAACTGGAAAAATGGTTCAGATCTCACCAATTCCACAAGACCCAACTGCTCTCACGGGAACGAAGAGAGGGTGGGATTCCTGCAGCCCCTTTGCAGATCAGAACTGTTCTAGGTGCCAGCCCCATGTAGGAACTGTGTTGTGTGGCACTAGATGGCACCAAAGCAAGTAATGGTGTGTGAAAGCATCAGTAAAAAACTTCAATTTGGGTATTTTAACCTTTTTACCAGTCTGGCTTCTTGGCTGGCGCTGTTTGCTCTGACAGTGACGAGGCTGTCAAAGGGGTTGCAGGTGTTTTGTTTTCTGTGTGTCTGAGCAGCAGCAATCCACCATGTTTTGCTGTTGTTGAGGAGTTGCAGCTCTCTTTTCTGCCCAGCAGGCAGAGATCAAAAGAGTACATGATTTTATGAAAAGATGCATATCTAACTCCTTATGTAAATAAGGTGCTTATTTCCCTGCTTTTCTGGGTTTCTTTTAAGTCTGCATAATTCCTGGCCCCTGGAAATCTCCCTGTTCTCAGGTTCTCCAGGCAGGTGCTCCATGAAACCCTCGGTGCAGGGAAGGCAGGAGGTGCTGGATGTGGTACCTGGGGATGGAGCAGAGCAAGAAGGGGCTGCTGTGTGCCCTGTGTACCCCTGGGGATGCTGCAGCATTGCTGGGAATGCTGGGGCTGGCTCTGTGTGCTGTGCTATAACTGGGAATGCTGCAGCATGGCTGGGGCTGGCTCTGTGTGCCCTGGGCTGCACACAGCTGCTGTCCCTCTGCTGTCCCTCTGCAGTGTCCCCATTCCTGTCGTGGCCCTGCTGAGCCCTGCCCAGGGCAGACCCTGCCCCGTGTCCCTCCTCTAGAAGGTGAGACCACCCTCACATTGCCCAGGGACATCCAGGCCCCTGGAACCATCCTGGGAGCTGGGTGCTGGTGTGCAGGCCAAGCCTCTCTGTGTCTTCTTGTTCCTGATGTCAGAATGTGTTCCAAAATGATCCCAACAAACGTGGTTGGAAAAAGAAAGCAGCAAACTGTTCCCCAGTGTGAGCTGTGCCAGGGGGCTTTGGGCCCTGTGCTCAGCACTCCTGAGCTCAGCATTGCTCTGGTGGCTGCACCTGCACCTGCCTGCCCTCCCCACACACCAAACACCTCCTGCAGCTCAGAGCTTTGGAGGCTTCCCCAAACAGGGCTGTGCAGAGCTGTGCAGCAGTGCTGGAGGGATGCTCCTGCTGCAGAGCTGTTGTGTGACGGAAGGGATGCAGAGCCATGTCCTGCAGCACAGAGCTGCTGTGTGATGGAAGGGATGCAGGGCCATGTCCTGCAGCACAGAGCTGCTGTGTGATGGAAGGGATGCAGGG